TTGAATTTTCATTCTGTACATTGCAGCTGTCTAAAACCACTTCTGATGCCAAATGCACTACTGGAGCTGGTTTCGCCCGGGTTTTAGTAGCATATATTGAGTGTTTGGATCTTCACTAGAAAGAATTCATTATACCACAAGTGACCATGAATTTCAGTGCTGACAATAACATTGCTCAGTACGTTGGTCATAAACTTTCATAAATTTCCAGTCTCATTCTTCAGGTGACATAATATACATAAATAAAGACTAAATCATTATGCGTGGGGGTTTATGTTTGGCTTTTTTTGCCCCAGGGAAAAAGCTTATCGCTTTTCCTTTTAATTGCATCCAACTCTCCTTGGAATACTTAACATCACTACAAGCTGTCTGACTTTCAGTAAATGGCATATTCCTCTAATTGCAAAGGCTTGAGAGCTGTAACAGCTTGGTAAAATACAAAACAGTAAGGAATTCCAGACCGGGCACAGTTCTGTGGGAATCCTCTCTATTTTTCAGTTGCCATGGTACACCCAATTTCATCTGCCTTGGGCAATCTGAGCACAGTCACCAACAGGATTGAGTAGTGCCTGGTCTCCCTTCACCCCCAGAATACTCAAGCCAACAGTGGCTCCATCACACTAAAGGTCAAGACATGAAGGCCTCAAAGTATGATCACAGGCAAAACTGTTTCTCTGTGCCCTACAATTTCTTCAACTTTTGTTTAAAGTTGAGAGCACTCTGCTGCTTTATAGAAGAGGGGAAAAGAAGCTGGGATGTTTACTTTTTAATGTCTTGGGAACCTGCTGGGATCCTGGCACTGAGCAGAGGAAGGCATGGCATGATGCTATGGCCTAATAGCTATCCTGTGGGAATGTTTTTCGTTGCCTACGAACACACTGATACCAAATTCATATTCAGAAGCCAAAGTTCCCATCCAAAACTTTATAGAACTTCTCTTTGGCTGGTTCAATATTTTGATTCTCTTCACGTTTGGAGTGGGAACAAATGTCAGTATTTCCCTGGGGATGAACATTCATTTTCTCAAGAGTTCATGCCAATACAGAGGACAGTCCTCCCTGCATGCTACAGGGCATCCCACACACTCAAGAGACACAAATTGAGAGACCTGGCCACAAATCAAAGTGCTGGAGACTGCCAAGCTTCCACTGGTGGAAAGACAAAGCACATCTGAGAAATGTTTAACTCATCTCTTAATGGAATCGCACAAAGTATCAAGGCTCAAGACCTTTCCTAAAAGTGTGCCACCTAGTGAATCATTTTCATTTCCCAACCATCTCCCTAGATACTATTTGGGAAATGAGCCCTTTGTGGTTTACACAGTTCTGGTCTTTCTGGCCTCACCAATGTCCCACAATGAAAGTCAAATGTTTTCCCAGACATGTCACTCTCTTACCATACAGCCTAGATACAACATGGGGACTATACCCAGGTTATATATTAAATCCAAATCTGAACCTCCGTCCAAGTCAATCCAAGTCAAATATCTGGACTATGAGCACCCCACTTCTGGGGCTCTAATAATCCTGCCACAGATGCAGGGGCCAGGCTGGCTCCCCAGCATGCACTTGGAGTGAGAAATGGGATGATACACACAGCCAAGAGGCACTTTAGGTGGCCATTTTCTCCACCTCTCAGCAACATCCCACTCCAGGGGAGGGGAAAAAAAAAAAAAAAAAAAAAAAAAAAAGTTCCAATACCCCTCTTCCCTCCCAGCCTGCAGTACAACCGAGCCCTCCCAACCTGCAGGACTCCCTGAGCTGACCCTAACATTTCCAGAGCACGCTGCATCACATGGCTAAAGAGCAGCTGCAGAGCGCGGCTTTAATTAACCCATTAGTTCAGTTAACTTGTAGTTTGATTAACCTGTTAGTTAACCTGCCTGCAGGGTCCAGGGTGTTGACCCCCAGCTATTGCTGAAGAGCACTGCAGGGCAGCTGATGACTACCTGCCACCTACTTCTCATATTTCACTCTGCGTTGCGGCTGCCTGGATCAGGCCCCCACAAGCTGAGATGGTGCCAACAGGGGAATTTCACAAGGGAAAGAGAAAAGACTGATGTTTCCCCAGCCCAGCCGTGGCATGCCGCTTACCACTTCAGGGGCAGGCTTTCGGCATTCACCTCGATAGTTTACCGTGATGTAGTTTGAAGCTCTCCTGCAAAGGGAGGACAAGACATTGCTTATTATTCACTTGCAATGCCACAGCTCTCTGCCATCGGCATGACAGTCCTCTGTGGGCTCCTTAATACTTTGATGCTACTTCCAGTACGATGGCATTTATTACTCCCCAAACAATCTTATGATTGGGCAGAAAGGGAATAGGGGACTCTGGAAACTTGTGTATCTTAATTAGCTGTCATCAGATTAATCTCAGGCATTTTGATCTATGTTTGCTTAACAGCAAGGCACCAAGGACACACTTGATAGTGAGTCATGATATATCAAAACAAACACTGTGCTGCAAAAGACACTCGGGAATGGTGGATGGCCCTGTATTACTGAAATCTCTCCGCCTACTCACATGGCAGCTGAACACAAGTCACATTCATTTTTGTATGTTTTCCCATCAGTGCCACAGACTGGTTGTGAGGATTTGCTGCAGAAAATCCTTCCACCCTTTACCCCGTGCAGAATTCGATCACAGTCCAGCTGAAGAGAGAAAGAAATCACATTTGGTGCTAGTTCATTTGTGAGACCCTCGTTTATGTGACTTAAAAGCACTTACAGACCAAGCCTTGCCATGGAATCCTTCTGCCCTGCAACACATCCACCACACCTCCAGCGAGGCCAGGCTTGTAAAGGGATAGTGTCTCTTGTTGGACTGGCCAGCCAAGCTTCTAGGGACAGAGCCCACCCTGCCCCACTGCCGGCCACAGACCCACTCATCTGATCCACCTCGGCACCTTGCTCCAGGGCAGGTTTGCTTCTCTCACTGGGGATCTACAAGAAGGTGAAAACTTCTGCTACCTGTCCTTAGTCCTCCTTATCAGGGCTTTGATGAAGTTTCGTCTCCGAGAATGAAGATGAAACCCACTGGCCAGAATTAAGAAAAAAGCTCTACAGCAGACTCCGCTGCCCGAGGGCGGTGCGACACGCAGCACAACTTCTGACACCCACTGAGTTAAGAGACACAAGCATATATGAGCAGCTATGACTAATTAAGGGTGCCCTCTTGTTTCCTCTCAAGCATGACAACAGGAACATTTAGACACAGCTTTCCTAAAAACCACACTTCGCACAACCCGGACAAACTCACAGCACAAGGAGTGGTCTCTGGGGACCCCAAAAAGCCTCTCACTCTGAGGTCTCCACCCTACAAGCACGCCAGGGTAGGGGGGAATGTTTGCAGAGTCATAGCAAATTTCAAACGGCAGAGGTCAGAGATACCACAGCCTGTTCCCTGGCACATACACAGCCCCTTCTTCACCCTGGCCCCCCACTTCTGCTCGAGACGTTGAAAAAAGACCAAGACAAAAGGAGTGACTAATGAATTCCCATCCCCTTCTCCAAGTGCTACAAAACACATTGCAGTGACTGTAAATGGTGCAACCGGAGGAGAGCTGCAGCTGGGATGGAGAACACGTTTCTGGAGATGCAGCATTTAGCACAAAATGATGGGTTTATCAACAGCACTATGGGACAGGAAACAACATAGGGAAGGAAAGTTTCATGCGAGGTGGCACGGAGGGTTTGGTGACATTGGGGTGCTGTGATAGCACCTGCTGGTTTAAAGTCACTCACTAATTTCATTAATGTGTTGCTTCCTCCCTCATCTCGGTAATTACCGATGACGTGAAAGCAGACAACCCTGACCTTTGCAATTCTCTGCTAGATGCCTCCCCACGTGCCAGATGCTGCTGCCTCAGTAGGACCCGTGTGCCTGCATTACTGCCCAGGGCAGGCAGCCACCAACCCCCAGCAATCCACATGTCACAGGTCCCAGCAGCCAGTGCCTCCACACCTTTGGCTTTGGGAAACTGCCTGCGACAAAACCCGCGGGTGGCCCTGGAATTGGAGAGGAGCAGATTTGCTCCCTGAATCACCTCTAGTCAGTCAGGCTCGTCAGCATCCACCCCCCCTCAGGAGCTACCAGGAAATACCACTAAGCCCTGAAGCAGACTGGTGTTATTACACTTAATGCTTCCTCTGGAATGCATCAAAACTGCCTTACCTGAACCACCTACTGGGATTTTTAACTCAAATACCCCTTTTCTAAAAGTGGTCAGTGACAGAGGCTTCAGAGAGAGTTGAAGCGGTTTGCAGTGAGGTCCCTCCAGCTCCATAGAAACACATTTCCTATATCCCTTCCAAAATGTTATTTAAATTACTGTATGCAAATGCTGGAGGGACTAAAACATCAGGTCATTTTTTTTAATCATCCTAGCTCTTGACAACACCCCGTGACAGTGAAATCCACAGTTCAGTCACCTTTTTTACCATAACTTATTTTCTCTTATTAGTTTCATATTTTCCACTTTTAGCTCTATTGAAACTATTGCATTTTCTTTTCATGGAGACAAGGGAGAACAGACACCCCCATCTTCCTCCCACATTATTCCATACACAGTCATCATCTATCACTGTTTCCCCCTTTAGCACTCCCTCCCCCTGTCAAGCTTGTCCTCATCCCCTGGTCAGCTCCATCACCCTGCTCTGGCCATGCACCTTCTCAACACGTGGGGGCTGGAACTCCTCACCCACTTTGGCTACATGTGGGGGGCAGGCATCCAGCCTGAGCTCAAGACCAGCACCCCCACAGCTGATGTACTTCCAGCAGGAGCCAAGCTCACGAGCAAAACTGTCTTAGGAGGGTCCCATATGGGCACATCCAGCCCTACTCCGCTTCCCTCTGCTTCAGTGCCAGGCAGTACAGGGGCTAGCATCAGGGTACAGGTGTTTTCAGTCATTCAAACCCTTCCAAGGACACGGGGCCAAGTGAGAATATTTAGGGCCACAGCAAGAACAGGAGCAGCGGCTGGGAAAGGAGGCGTTGGGGGCTCACACTGGCAGAGGAGCACCCCATGAGAGAGGTGCCATTTCTGCCCAAACAGCTGCCATCCAAGATGCAGAAGGAGAGTTTACCAGCTGGGAGGCATCGGTGTCATCTCTGCTCTGTGCCTTGCGGCCAGGTGCCTGGTTGCAGTTTCTACCACTCTGAGCCACGGTTCCTTGTGGGCTGGCAGGGAAAGAGAGGAGAGAGGCAGCTCATCACACCACCCCTCCTGAACAGGGGGAGTACAGTGCACATTCACCCTCCCCACAGACCCCCACAGCTCTCAGGGAGCTGCTTGTGCTATGGCATCCACTCGCCCACTGGGACAGGAGAGGGCGAGAAGCCCCCCAGCCACATGCTAACAGGGAGGCAGCCAACAGCAGGACAAACCTTGCCTTGTGCACAGCACAAGTGCATCACCACCCCCAAGGGCTCTGCACTCCTGATGGCATCACTTGGTGGATGGGGAGACAAAGGGACTGCACCAGCAAAAATCAAGAAGTACCAGAGCTCCCCAGAAAAGGCTCTGAAAAAGCATCAGCCAAGTCCTACTCAGGTCCAGCAGCTATAAAAGAGTGCCTGACCAGTGCCCAAAAAGCAGTGCACCAGACACTGCCTCCAAGCTAGCAGGTGAAGATGCGTCAGGGCCAAGGCAGACACATGTGCCCTGTCAGGAGGCAGGGTTTGCTGGACAAAGGTGTCCTGAGAGGGATTTTGAGCACAGCAATCACTGATGCTTCATACACAGAAGTCAAGGCCAAAAAGGAGCAAGGGTTGCATGACAAACATCCTCACTCTGCGTCTTTTTGCCATCATCAGCTTAGCCAGTGGGAAGACGTGGTGTACTGAGCAAACACCGCAGTGTTCAATTCTCTAACCCAGACAGTGCTGCTTGTATGACACTGAAGCATTCCTGCTCCAATTAACATCCTAACCACCCCTAGGAAAAAACATGTAGATGGAAGGGGACAGAAACCAGAGCCAGGGCTTGTGGGGTGGTCGAGGGGACAGGCTGCCATCCCAGGTGCTGCTCAACTCACCCTCTGCTTGACGAGAAGGGACGGCTCTCATTCACCCCCTGCCATGACCCTGAACCACCACAGTTCTTCTGCAAAAGAGGCAGGGTCATGTTCAACAACCATAGTAACAACTTTTATACACCTAGAGAAGCAGCAAAGGTAAAGCAGCTCCTGTCCTTCCCCCTCCTCCTCCCAGACCCAGAGAATTATGGGGCTGTTCTTAGAGAGGCAGGTTTGATGCTTGCTTCATACCCACCAAATGTTATCATCTGAGGGCTTACAGGCTTGTGGGGAGTCTGAACCTGCCCTTTATCTTTCATATAGCATCACACCACCAGGGAAGCGAAAGAGACTGTTCTGTCAGGTCCAAACGTGCCTACTTTGTATGCTCATACGCAGTTCCATCCCACAAATGACTGAGGCTTTGCAATGCAACCTGCTTCTCCCCCATTGTTAGCTGGCTCCAGCATCCCAAGCAGCATGCTCACCCCAGGCTGACCACAGGCAGTCCCTGGCCATCAGGATCCCATAGACTCTCACCACCCCCTTTCCCTGAGCTCAGGGCAAGCTCCAAGCTCCATCTCACCTGTTTTGTACTCTTTGAAGCAAGTGGTTTGTTGCGCTGGGCAGTTCCACCCGACTGACCTCCTCTTTGGGCTTCTTTTTTGCTGGAAGAAGGGGAGAGGAGGAAAAGGGAATGCTATGGCAGTGCAAGTGCCGCTGGCACTCAGGGCTGCCATGTAAGCCATTATCATGCCATTAGGCACCAGCTTCCCATCTGCGGTTCCTGTTCTTGGTGGTTCTGTTACTAATTCCCACCCCTAAGCCTTCTCCCTTCTCCTCACCATTCCCACTGTACGCTACATCCTGGATCCAGGTGGCTGCTTTCATATCAGGGCTGCTTCTGCATATGCTCTATGGGAGTAGAGAGAGAGCATCTGGAAGGCAAAGTACACGCATGGGAAACTCCTCAGGAGCTTCCCACACCCAACAGTCCCCGGGAAAGGGGTTCCTCTCTATCAAACTTGCTTCTCCTCCTCTAGTCCATGCTGCTTCTCACCTGCCCCTGGGCCCTTTGCGCTGAAAGGGAAGTGGGAAGAGTGGCAATGGCCGGAGCCCTACTGCTGGAGCATCTCTCGGAGGGCCACTGGGATTCAGGACTCTCTCCCAGGCATCGCCCAGATGCAGCTCCACAGGCAGGAGCTGCAGTTTTGCAGCCGGAGGTTTCCCTCTTTGCTGTTGTTGCTCAGAGGAAGCTGTACTCACAACTTCTCAGCGCACATGAGACATTTGTTGGTGTGCTGCTTGCCAGAGGAATCCCGAACAGGGTCATTCTCCCTCGTGCAGGACAGTCGTCCACCAGCTTCAAACTGGGACCGATACTCACTGCAGTCATCCTGTGGAAGGAGGGCAACAGTTAGGGTACCCTGTCCTCTTTGCCTTATTGATCTGATTCTTAGAAACTTGGGGTTTTCTGTGAGGAAAGCATTGAACCATCACAAACGCATCACAGGAGAGCCTGCGTATGGGCAAGAGAAGAGGGTGTGCAGTACCAGACACTTAGTAGATAAGCAGAGGACTGAGTCAGAAAAATTACGGATCCTTCTGCCTGCACAGCACGTGTTGGGAGTTTTCTAATATGGTCCGACTAATTATTATTCTCCCTGTTCTCCAAAGCATGCCAGTGATGCGACCGATACAGTAATGAACTCCCTCCCACTTCTCTCAACATCCTTCATACACAGCTACAGCCTTTTCCCAGGTTGCAGCTCAGATAATAATTTCATTTACAAAGCCAGTAGTTTCTCCAAAACCAACAACACTTTGGGACATGTCGATCAAGAAGCAGCAGTTAAAACATAAAAGCACAATGTAAACATACTCAATAGTCCATGAGCAGTGGAAGGTTTTTTTGGAGAGTGGATGATTAATTTGTTCCCTGTTCAAAATTGCTATACAGAAACCTGTTATGCAACATGGATGTAAACATTTAATCCCCATAATTTCAACTATTTCAGACATGCAATAGCCAATTGCAAACAGCAAGTACAGAGAATAAGTAACTGGATCCCACTTACCCTTTGTTTTTAACACCTGAAATTTTCTGCCCATTTATAGGAGTTTTGACTAGCCTGCATTAAGGTCCTTAACAGATCACTGCCCTCATCCTTTGCTTTGCTCAGAAGTTTCCAGCACCTCATCCTCTCTGCCAGGAGAGGATTTCCCCAGCATTGTGTCCTGCTCCCATCCAGGGTACCTCAGCCTCTGGATCCTCAGCTTTGCTACTGGACTAACACTGGCAAAACAGAGTACAAAGCCTTGCACTTCTCTAGAGCCAGACTAGCCATGGGTAGGAGAGACATGATCCGCACAGGACGAGCCTGCACCTGCTGTGGCCAGCAGCCACACTGAACTGCTCCCACCAGAAATAAATGTCGCACCCCACTTCAGAGGGGCTCCCCAAGAGCCTCACTGCTTCTCCCCAACACCAGTGTGTACTCACACCCCTGTGCAGTTCAGGCAATGCTTCTCTCCCCGACAAGCCCAGGAAAGCAATCCCAGACCCTCTGTACCTTGTTCCCTGGGACCAGCCCAGCTCAGCACCCTGATCCTCCAGACAGATCTGCCTTCCCCTAATTAACCCCTCTCAAACAGTCTCCCTTTGAACCAGCATTTCTGGAGCTCTCTTAACTTCCCGGCCTCTGCTGCAGAAACCTCGCTGAGTACATACAAGACTTGCATTTGCCTTTTTCATGGCCTGTCACATCCCCGACCCACTAATAAATGCAGGGCTTTCTAATCCTTTGTCACTTCTAACCGACAAGCAGGAATTCTTGTTAATCACTGACTGTGTGATCTTGCACTGTTATTACATTTTATCTTGTTTCTATTACTCCAGGCCTCAGCGCTATCCAATTAGTTCTGAGTGATCTGCTGATCCTCTTCTGCTGCTGCCTCCCAACTTTGCCATCAGCGAATTTCTCTTATGCTTCCATTTTTTTGTGCCAGTCATTAGGAGAAGCACTGAAAGAGGATTATCCCCAAGACTGAGGCTTAAGGGGACCACACCAGTCCCTACCATAGCAGAAACTGAAAGGTAAGTGTTGGAAAACGATATTTTTTTTCCCCTTACAGAGCTGTTTTTGCCAGCAAAGCGTCAGTGTGACAGTGGCTGCAGGATGACAGGGCGCAGGTGGTGAATGGCAGCTCTGTGAGAACAAAGTTTCCAAGAAGAAAAGCTGTAACTGAGCCACAGGTCCATGGAGATAGCGCAGGGCTGAGCTCTCCTCCCAGAATACAGTGATATCTTGAGCTTTGCAGAGTTCAGATTTAGATCTTTTCACCCAGACTTTTCACCTAATTAGCACCCCCAGCAACACTGACTTCTCCACCCTTGAGCCAGTTTTCAGGACAGCACAGCACACCTGGTTTCTCACTCTGATGGGATTTGGCTGTCCCTAGATCCACAGGTCAGTAGGATAGACTGTAACATTCAGGCACAAATAGTTCACTTGAAGGATTCAAGAGCATGAGCAAGAAATAAAGAGGGAAAATGGATCTCAAAATTAAATCAGTGGAGACAGAGCAACTGAGTAGAATAATGTTGCCTTCTCTCTATCTTGGGTGAAAATTCAATAAAGTTTGATATTGACCTGCCTAATACTTTAATCTCACCTTATCTTTTCCTTGTCTGTTTTTAGATAACTTCCGCTCATTCTCTCTTTTGCTGGAAGAGAAGCAAGATGAGAAAGTGAATACCACAGTGCTCCAGGGAGCGAGAAATTTTCCCTCTCAACTGCAGGAGGGGAAAGCGATCCCATCCGCATGCATCAGCAGTTGGGTCACTCCAGCAGCCGCTTTCTCAAAAGAAAAGGCGGGTTTTTTCTCTACTCACAACTTCTCTGCACACATGATACACTTATTGCTGTGTTGTTTCCCAGAGGAATCCCGGACAGGGTCATTTTCTCTGGTGCAGGAAAGTTTCCCTTTCTTAAACAGGTCCCGAAACTCTCGGCATTCATCCTATGGAAATGCCAAAAACATGGGTTGACACAGGTATGCTGGCAGAGGGATGCATCTCCCACAAATCCACAAAGGATTATCCACCTAATGAATTACATTTCAAACACTGTTTTATTTCCTTGCGGCATAAGCCAATGGAAAGCTACAGTTTGCCTGATACGTTCTCTTAAACTATGGCCTGCAATATAAGCAGATTTGTCTTTGCATCCAGGGTAGCTTTATTTCTATTTCTAATAGGTAAGACATGCAAGAGCCTGCCTAAAGGACATAGGTTCTTCTCTAAGTATAAAAGCTACAATTTCTCAGTGAATTTTGAATGAGGAAGTCAATTTTCCCATCTCTCGTGAGAGAACATACTACCAAGAATTCTAAAATTCCCTGCACAGTAAAAAAAAAAAATGCAGCTGCAGGCATAAAAATAATCCTTGCACACATCACATTTCCAGGTGTGCTAGAGTAAGAGGTGGGCATTTTTACCTTGCACTTAACATGATGTTATGCGTTAATTGAATCAAAGCACTCTATTTCACAAAAGTCTTTTGTCACAAAACCTGCTTAAGCATTTCAACCCGGTCTTTACTTTCCTCTGAACAGATATCCTATACCTTTCAGGGCACACAAGCAGGTTTGTAGCATAAGAAACACATGCTACATATGAAGTCTTTAGCTTCTTTTATGCAGCACTTTTAAGGTTATTTGTCATGTGATCTGTAATACATTTTTTCCCCCTCCCTTTGTGTAGAGGAGATGGTTTGATAACTTATCCCAGCTTTGCAGATGGGGAAGTCAAGCCTAGAAAATTACTTGCCAAAAGCCAGACAGAAAATCTATGGCTGAACAAAGAAATTCAGTGTAGGTCTTTTCCTGACACTGTGAAACTGTCCTGATGCCTTCAGGACCACACTTTGGCAAGTCAGGTGTTTAAAAAAGATCTCCTTTAGGACAGCTGTTCTTTACAAAACCTTTAAATTGCCCAGACACACAAGAGCTACCCTGCTTAACCAGATGGAAAAATAAAAAAAGAAAAAAATAAAATCACTGCAACAAACACTATCTGATGGAAACCAATTCACTCCTATCAAGAATAAAAAACCCAAGGCTCAAAAATACAACTCCCTCCACATAAAGATCTGCTATCTAGAAAAACATCTATTGGTAAAAGAAACCAGCCAGGTGCATCAACAAGATAAACAAGGGACAATTAGAACCAGCCTGCTCCCACACCCTGCCCTAGTCAGAGCTCACATGCACCATCGCTGCTATTAATTATCTGTCAGATGCCAATGGCATGCCTTATAAACAGGCAGGTATCCTCCTCAGACTATGCTCTGGGTCAGGCGCAGACCATATTAATTGTCCGATAGGGACTAGATTGCCTGGGAGGAGTTACAAGTAGTTTTGATTTCTTTTACGGATGGCACAAAGCCTCACGCTCCTCCTGACCCTTTTCCCGAGGCAGAGCATGTTTGCCTTGCTCCCACCGCAGGCACACCGCTGGGCCTTTCCCCATCGGCCAGGCCAGCGTTTCCCACGCCACAGACAAGGAAATGCACTGGGCACGCGGGCCAGAGGCAGAAGGCACAATGCCACCTCAACACCCTGCTCCCCATCTGCCGATAAAACTGGCTTCCAGAGCGATGTTTCACCTCACCTCTCCCAAGGAATTCACGTTCCTGTTCACCTCTCCACCACTCCCTTTGTTTTTTGAGTCTCTTTCCCTGCAAGAAAGGGAGGCGTGAGTGACAAAGCAGTGTGCAGTTCTCAGACTAAAGCCAAAATAACTGGTGATTAAAGGCCCATCCTGCCAACCCCACCTCCCCATTGCGCAAGGGAGGACAGACCAGCGCCGGCGCTCCAGCTCAGTGAGACATGCCCAGGGTGTTTAGCATCTCCATATTGGGGGCATTTTGCCATCCTTTCTCTCCTCCTAACATCCAGGTGTTTCCATCCTATTAAACACCATCTATGGAAACAAGGAACTCAATCCCTGTATGTTTTCACTGTGGATTTGCTCCACGCACCCTGTGGTGCATGTCCCCACCCCCATGTGATGAGCCAGAGGGAATTGCTGGGTTGACAAGTTTGCTGAAGAGCTACTAACTGGTCTGTCTGGCCCAGGAGTATGATTTTACAACACAAAGCCTCCCGAGGTGGCTACGGGAGGAGAGGACGTGCTACAGATAGAGAGGATGGTTGCTGGAGACAGCATGGGCAGCCGATACTCACATCAGTCTTTGGCACATCAGGCACTTGTTGAGGTCTGCTTTGCCATCTGGGCTGCTGACAGGCTCTTTGTTGGTGGGACAGGAAAACTTCCCACTGCGCAGAAGTGACCAAATTTTCATGCACTCACTCTGAAAAGCACAGAGGAGGACAGTCAGTGGAGATTCCCTCAGAGGCCATCAAGATCCCGAGAACAGTTTGTTCAAATTTAAGCTTTTCTGGGTGGGCTACGTGCTCTTGACAGCAATAATCTGTTCACACCAGGCCTGAAGCTACCACACCCCTCAACCTCATCCCTCACCACACATCACGTGTGGTACAGGCTGCTCCCAGAGCCCCACTCGTGGCTCCTGGGGCAGAAAAGACGAGAAAGTTCAAAACCCGTTGCAAGGGCCATTATTCATCGGAAAAGGAATACATATTTAATTTGCATACATCTGCAAATTGCTACCTGCTGCAGGGAAGGACTTATAAAGTTAGTCAAGAGCGGAAAATGTAGCCCTAGAAGTGCCAGTGGGATGCAAGAGTAATGAATCGACCAGAGTGACTGAAGAGCAATTCAGGTGCAAGACTGAAGCACAGAAAAGTACCGTCCTCTTAGGAGGCAAAGCAGTAATATTGTGTAATGCTGCAGCAACCAATTGTCTCTTCTGCTGGGTAACTGAAATGCAGACTAGGGAGAATCAATGAACCATTAAGTTATTTTTGGCTACTATGTTTTCCAAAAGGGTCTTTACTAAGAAGAGGCAAGCTTTTTTTGATTAAAATATGAACGGAGCTGACTTCTCAGTCATTGAATCAAATAATTTTCCAAGGCCCAAAGGACTTGCCTTAATTCTTTTAATTATCAAACTCAGGAATTATCAGAAGCAGGGGTTTCTGCTGGATCAGAAGCAAAATTCTGAAATATCATTAGAAATATAATTCATGCCATTTCTAACTTCATCTCATGAGATTTCCAGCCCAGAGCTGTTCAGATACGTCCTCAGCATAGCACACCAAACATACACTGCCAGCTAGAGCCACTGCTGTATTACAAAATATAGTCTGTAAACACAGAGAAATTCACTGCTTTTTCCACTGAAAGAGCATTATGACATCTACGTATAGTCCGTCTAAATGACTTTGCTCAGAGCATGCATTAAGCAGTGTAGTTGGCAAAACAAAAGGAGAATCAGAATAGAAAAGGTTGGACTTGCCTTAATCGAAGCTTGGCTGGCAACATCTGCGACAGAAAAACCAACAATGAAACCATACAAAATCTTTGAAGGGAAATTTTAAATCAAAAGCATTTAATTAAAATACTTGATGCAGTTTCCTAATCCACCCAAATACCTCTAGATAAAAGCTAATCCAATGCATTATTGTACACTGATAGAAAGGACTGGGCATTAGAGACTTTCTGGAACATTGCACTTTTTGTCATTCAAATGCAAAAGCAAATCCATTTTTTGCATCTTTGTGTCCCCTTTCACTGTGTTACTTTTCTCAAGTTTAAAATCCAAGTTCCAAGGATGGTTTAGCAACTCTCTATTCTACCCCACTGCCTTGGTAGTTGTATCAACCTTACAAAAGTATTTTTTACTTTCTTCATCTTCACTTAAAATTGGGATACCAGAGCTAGGCTGTATCATTGTCCAAAACTTCAAATTCCTTTTCAAGGCCCATTCCATTTGCAATACTTCACATAAATTACCAAATTAATAATTAGTCAACTGATACATGTTTCTTTCTACTAAGCTACTTAGAGCTAGTATAATAAGTTTCATCCTTTTGTCTTGCATCATCAGCGGCATCATGGGGAACCATCAAGAAATCCTCCCTTAGCAATTTTTCAGTAGAAATAGGCAGTAAAGTGAAAGACCACTGCATCAAGCCTAAACTCCTGCCGAAATCTGTCTGTTGTAACCATATAAAAATTCATTCCTTAGTAAGTGTTGACAAGAAATTCCTATTTTTCTGATTTTACCAAAAACTGTATTGCACTTTTGTTCAAAGTCAAGCTTTTAATGCAAAAATTCAGTCTGGTTGGAGACTTGCATTCCTTCACTTAGACAGATGGGGGGTTGTTTTTTTCGTTTGCTCTTAAACTGTTAACTCTACTAAAAATAGACACTTTTACCTATCAGTAGAACTTCACCATTTTCACATGCAAGAGAAAAAGCCATTATCAAGAATGGGTTATAGCAAACCAATACGAGTAGTACAGTAAAAAAATTATGGCCTTCTCATTATATCACTATACTTTTTAAAAAACAAGGGCTCTCTAATCCTCTATCTGTCTTTACAGGAACTCCCAGGCTCTGTCCTCCTTCAGTCCCAGATTTTAGCACAGAGAACATCAGAAGTTACTAACCTGAAAAGAAGCAGAAAAATGCCAGAGCAAGGACCACCGAGGCACCTTCTAGTTTCATGGTGAGGGTGGCAGCTGTTTGCCTGTGTTGACTCTATTAGCGCATTGCTCAATGAAACCCAAAGAAAGGGCTCAGGTCAGATCACATATATATAGATGACCAGATCCTCCGCCTTCATTATGACATAATCTTCCCAAGAACCATCATTAGTTGCAAAAACCAGTTTGATGACAGTAGCTCTAAACTCTAATGATCCCATTAACACAATTAATTTCCATAAGGATGGGGCACATTTGAGTCACTCCCTGTATTTTGTCAAGGTAATAAAATTATAAATAGATCATTTTGGTTTCCCCACAGAGGGAGAAGAATTCTCGCCATCTTTAGGGTGGTTCATAAGACAGAGGTACCCCAGTAGCACACCACTAATACCCTTTCATATCTCAACAAAATAGCTGAAAGGGTTTTATTTTAATAACTTGGCTTCAGGAGAGACAAGAGGAGGGCCACGTCACCCAAGACCTCTGGAAGTCAGTCTGCTTTTATTAAAGCACCTCAGTATGAACCTGAATAGTAAATATTCAGGCAAGGCTGAAAAACATCAAGTTTGAGGCCTTGTTCAAATTCTTTGAGTTTGATGCCACAGTTCACATAGCAGCTGTGCTAATGAGAAAACCATACTGCTGAATCCTCAATCCCTTCCCTGTTTATCCCTGTTGTCTTCAGAAAAAAAATGTAGTGTTATTAGCAAAAACCTTTCCTCAGTCCACATGAGACCTGGCAAACCATACAGATACTGCTCTTTAAGCAGATCAGTGCTCACAGAGATGTTTTTTTCTTGATGCTAAAGGGTCCAGCAAAGTAGCCCTGCTCAGGTCTCTCCTGAAGAAGAGATAAAAAATGAAGGTTGTAAGCCTGTGCAGCATTTCCCAAGAGACTCAGAGGAAAATAAAGATGACATCAAAGTTTTGGAATGTGATTTATGTGGAAAGAAGCCGTGTGCTTTGTTCTCCAGTAAAAAAGAGGAGAATTTGGAGAGAGAAGTCATTTGCAAGGTTTGAAACAGGTGGATAAATGAGAGAGTCAAGCAGCCCAGAGCAATGAGGGGCTTGAGCAAAGGCAAGCAGGCTGCAGCTGTGCAGAGAGGCAGGTCATCACCATCTGAGGAAGAAAACATACTTCTGCATGACATATTTGTTTGGCCAAACAGGCCAACACAGCTCCATATAAATCTTTATAATAAATTGCTGCCACATGTTTCTCAGATCAGAATAGTTGTTCCTGTTCACAAGTGGAGCCAAAGCCAAGTAAGTAGAGTCCTAATTTGGTGTGTGGTCATCCCTGACATTTCATTTCAACTCAAACTGAAATCATGTGCAGGTTCACAGTGGAGAGTTTGGAACAGAGAAGTAAACTGCCTGAGGTCATACAGATGGTTCGTGACAGATCTGAAGAGTTGTGTGCTGCCCTGAATCATAATTTCTGTATGTGTATTTGGTCATGGAATTAGAGGGGAGGCCAACAGGAAGAGAAGAAAACTAACCTGATATAGCATGTCTTGGTAAATCCTTGGGAGAGATTAAAAAAGATCCAGAATAGAAAAAAAAAAAAAAAAATAGAGCTGGAAATCTATTTGAAGAACAAAACCAAAAGACATCATTTGTTACTGGGGTGTCTTCCCATGAGTCAGCCATGAGGTGATAAGGTTTGGAGAGGGGAGGTGCACTTCTTAATGGGTTTTCTTTTTAAAATTTTCTTTTCCTCCAAAAGCTCTATTTCCCTAGAGAAGTGAAACAATTCCTTGATTTAAGACAGCTAGATGACCACCCTGTTCCTGAAGGAGGTACAGTAGGTACCAGACCCAGTCAGACTGGCCAGGTGAGAGCAGCTCCCAGCCTGGCTGTGTAGACAGAGTCCAGGGAGAGGAGAGAGGTCCTGACCCCAGATGGGTCCTGTGACCACCACATCTCTCCCATCATCCCACCACTGCAGCACCCTGTCCACCAGCTATACCCACACTGACCTGTGGGAGGAGGTTAGAATGACCCAAACACAACCAAAACCATGTTCAGTACCAAACCTAGTAAAAAAAAAAAAAAAGAGAAGGATTTTCCTCCCAATTACTACTGCATAACTACAGCCTCCTAACAAAACAGTTGTGGTATGAAATGCAGTGACAGGGGATGGGTAGAACCCTGCAGAGCCATATGGTTTGAAGGATTTTCTCCTGTGTGCTTGACTTACAAAAGGAAACCTGAGCAGAATAATGAGGGATGACAGCAAGTGTGTATTAAACATAAATCTTGTCTGACTCACTCGATTGCCTTTATTGATGGATTTACACAATAAAGTCTCAATCCTGCACTGGAATCCAGAGAGCCCGTTAATTTCCATAGGAGTTTGTATTGCAGGATCAGATCTGTAGGAGAGATGATCCTGATGCTTTAGCAATGGGTTTAGTACAGCACCTAGCTACTCTTAATTTAAAAATGATGACAAACAGCTGAAAAGCAATATGCCACGGAAAGAAGCAGCTGAGAGCAAGATGATATATTACAAAGACCCCTTTGTTCATGTCTCAGTTAAAATTTTGGAAAAGTAAACAGCATGTAATGATTTTATGCCTGGTAGGAAGCTCCCACTGTGTCCTTTCCACCACGTTCTCCTAGAAAAACAGGATAAAAATAATCATGGAGGAGCAACTAGGAAGATGCAAGGGGAAATGGAGCATAACATGAAATTAGGGCAAACTCTCATCAGGGGGAAACCCTGATTGTGCGGAGTCCTAGGGACAAAGTCCTACAGCCACTGAGCTGGGCCAGCACCATGGTAGGCAGGGCACAGCCACAGGGGACATTCACCTCTTTCCTTGTCAGGGGCCTGAGGAGAATGTGGAAGGGAGCCAATGAGCAGCCAAATGATTCACACCCCTATTAGTGATGAACAAGCTTACACTCCCTTTCCTATAACAATTCTCCCATTTTCTGATGTTCCCACATTTCACTCCTTCACGGGCTCTGCCTGCACAGGAATGTATCTATAGATATATTTACACAAATAATTGAGATGCCTTGTCCACTCAGAAAATTGTTTTTCTTCCCTTTAGTGACATGGAACTGTTCTGCATGTGGGATCACCACTTTTCTAAGGAGTTTAGCATCACTTAGGAATGTTTTTGTAAAGGGAAAGCTTCCTGGAAGTATAACTGGTTGGGTTTTTTTGTTTGTTGGGGTTTGGTTGTTTGTGTGGTTTAGTTGGGGGAGGGAGGGAAGGGAGCAGGTCAGGGTTTGCTTGGGGTTGGGTTTTTTTTTTCCTTTGGTTGGTGGTCTGGGCTTTTTAAACCATCTCTGCTTTGGTTGCACTTCATTGTTTGAATGAAGAGGTTGTAGAGAACTGGAGATGAGTCCCTTTAACCAAGCAGTAAGCAATAGGACAAGAGGAAATGGCCTCAAATTGCACCAGGGAAGGTTTAGACAGGATATTAGGAAGCATTTCTTTACAGAAGGAGTTGTTGGGCGTTGGAATGGGCTGCCCAGGGCAGTGGTGGAGTCCCCATCCCTGGAGGGGTTTAAGTCAGGTCGACACAGCACTGAGGGATCTGGTGTAGTTGGGAACTGTCAGTGTTAGGTCAGTGGTTGGACGGGATCATCTTCAAGGTCTTTTCCAACCTAGACAATTCTATGATTCTGTGAATGCCAGTCTCCAGCCCAAGTAACGCTAAGGGTGCCCTCAACACTTGAGAATGTGTGCTGTGCAGCTCCTTTTTCACACACAGAGCAAGGAAATGCTTTGGCTCAGGTCTCCAAAGCCACCACAGCAGGACAAAATGAGCCCTGATAAGGATCTGCAGCCCATGTTTCACCTACTTTGGCACCGCTGCCAGGGACAGTCCCCTTTACAGCACTATTTGCCTTTCTTGTTTTCCCCCCACTGGAAAACTTGCATCTCTGCAACCAGTGCTGTGGCTTTGGTGTCATCAACATTACTCTCAGCAAGCAAATGGGACTTTACTCAACATCACTGCTGGGTCCTTAGACCAGACTGGAAAAGCAACACGTGCTTGAGTCTGTGCTGCCAATGCTGCTCGCTCTTCTTCCTGAGTGCCAGCCAAGATCACACCACCACAACCCTTCACAGCCTCACAGGTCCCAGCATATGCTCTCAGGTGGTTTGCGCTCTGTCATCTCTCCAGGTGCCCTGTTCACACCAGCACAGGCAGCCTTCGAGACTAGGTCACATCCCCTGCTCTCCTCCAGGGAAGTGAGCTCCTGTATCACTAGGAAAACTGCATCCCACTTATAAAACCAATGACATGCCTATATTCCCACCATCGTTGTCCTTTTTTGTCCTGACACACTTTTTACCTCCCTGCCATCTCTCTTCCCCTTCAGAGGAAGGAACCCCATCAGTACCACCGCTTAACACTTAATTTCTCTGAAATATTTAAACTTCTCTGTTTTCCAGCCAACCACTTCACCCCTCTCACAACCCAGAGATCCTCTGCACTAAGCGGCATGGTTGTTTGGCAAATTTAACAAAGGAAACGCAGACTAGGTGGCATTTTGCTTCACAGCCAAAGCAGAGTCCAGAGTTCTCAATTTCAGCAGTGTTCCATGAGTTACACCTCCAAAGTGAGGAATTTCAAAATGCAGGGACTTCAGAGACACTCATTTTTAATCAGTCTCTCAGCATTATTAACACTTCAGGTTCAGAGCAAGCAGCCCCTTGCAGCCCACTTTGGGCTCATCTGCAGCTGTCAAATAACAAATATCAAGGGAAGACTATTGTGCTGCCATGCTAACGTGGCAAGCTAACACAGCCTTTGGGGCTGCATCTGCGTAAGTGTTGCCCACAGAGGTGGTCTGTTCTTCACATCTTGCCTAGTGCCTTGGGAAAGGACTCATCTCTGCTGTCAACCACCCCATGAAGATGGCTTTCTGCCCCCCAGAGACACCCAGTTATGCACTCATCCTGGGCTAGACCCTGCTGCAAGAAGAGCTACGAGTCTCACACATCTCAGCACAACTTGGGAGACACCTCATCCTCACACATCCCATGCAAGAACAACATTGATGACACGGGACAAAGCTCTTCTGCTTTCATGAATTTTTGTGACCAAAACCTAGTTGCTGATCATTCAACATTCAGCCCCAAGCTAATAGAAAAGAGTCTGAGTTTCTGGTCTGTGATAACCACGCCTCAGAGCTCCTCTATTTATACCTACTGCTGCTGCAGCTCTCGGGTGAGTGCTGCCCAGATCTCCAGGGAAAACAGTCTTGGTCATCCTGAAATTCCAATGCCACTGCAGGTACCCGAAGTCTACACCATGGTCCTTTCCCTTCAGTCAGGATGAACTTCTTGAGCCCAGAGCAAAGCTCCAACAGCCTGACTCAGTGAAAAGTCTGTCCCAAACGGCTGCTCATTTCCACCGCTGTTGGGTACAACCCAGCTCAGCAGCACAGCAGCTGACTCTTCACCAGGCTGCATCGCTGCAAGTGCAAATTCAGTAGTGGAGTGTGTTAACTCTCAGCATCCTGGAACACTATTCCCTCTCTGGTGGCTCACCAAGGAGAGTGAACTGCCAGAGGCCAGGAGAGGAATGACAGGAATTTCCTGATTTCATCCGCCTTTGACAATCAGGTGCACAGCGAGTCCTGTGCAACTTAGAGCATGTGGAGCCTCAGCAAAAAACATTTCAGAAACATGTCCAGAGCATGACAAAAAGCTTTACTGAAGAATAAAACACACTCTGGAAAAAAAAAAAAACAAAACACACACAACTGTGTCAAGTGGACTTACTGCATCAGAAGGAAAGAAAGTGGATAAACTTAATTTGTATCAGCTACTTTGCAAATCTCTGTGCACCAAGAGCATCTTCCCCTAAATTCAACATCTACTGCATCCTCCTATGGACCCAGTGTCTCATGGGTCATGACCTTCCCTGTCACCAGGTTTCCTGTCCTGCCCAAATCTACCTTTTAGCTCTGATCCAAAAAGTCACAAAAAGCATCTTGGGTTATTAACTGTCTTGCACACCATTTGTATGTCCCTCAGCACAGAAAGGTCCTGGGTCTCCTTGTCAAATCTGCAATGCAATGGCAGCAATTTCCAGCACTCTGCTTGAACCAGTCTGGGCCTCATCTTTGCAACCCTTCCCAGGCCATGAGCCACCATGACATGCGGCTGACTGTCCTGGACAGGCCTTTGTCACTGCTGACTTAGCTTGCCAGTGCCAGGGAGGAGGGGGAAATGAATCAGGAAGTGAGCAAGAGGGGTATATCCAAAAGGCAGGGATGGGGCCAACGTTGGATGATCACAGTAATAGCATGTAACACATGCCATCTTCAAAGGACTAATGAATCCCTACGAGGTTTCCCTGTTATTATTTGCATTTCATAGATGGGTACATTAAGATGCAGAAGGCTGCATTATCCTCTGGGTCACACCTACTTCAGTCCATTCATCCCTGGTCTTACATTGGAACTCACCCCTGTGGTGAGAGAGATCCTCCCACAAGTCAAAACAACAATGCTATCTCTCACTCAGGCCTGGTACAGGAATCACTAGTATCAGCTATGGTCTGGCTTGCATGGCACACCAGCCAGACTGGTCCTATTGATCTCTCCTGGCCTTGAAAACTGATCACTTCTTCCCTCCCATCAGGCTGAATGGTACAAGAAGCTCTCGCCTCCTGCTAGTTTGGATTTTTTTATATATACTTTTTTTTCTGGACGTGAAATATAAGACAGAGGAATCCAGAGAGATGCATCCAAGTGTCTAACACACCATCCAGTGTCATTCCACCCACCAGTCTCAGTCTGCCTGTGGAAAGGTCCCACCTTCCAGCCAGGAGCCTCCCCGCAGCTCAACAACTTTTGTCCACAGAAGAATGAAGCTGCCCTGGGAAGCTGCACTCACTGGGAGAGCAAAGTTGCTCCCCAAGCTATAACCAATGCCATGTGGGGTTGGGGATGCTGGAATCAGTCTCTGCATTCAGAGGGAGATCCAGCATCGAAGCAACGAGCTCTCCCCGCCAACTCTGGGGAAGCAGCCTGCCATTCCTACTGTCAACGCTTTCCAGGGCAGTATTTGCTCACTGAAAATTGTTAGGCTGGAGTTGGGTTTTGATCTACAAGGCCTCAGCAACTAACATCTGCACAGTGAAAAGATTTCTCATGGCAAAGCACCACGACATCCCACAGAGCTGCAAAGGACTTGCAGCCTCGGAAGGCCACCAAGATCTCTGCTCTGATGGGCCTTACCAGAGCTAGCTGATTTCACCTCAGTTAACAGTATTTGTAGCTTAGATAAGGGTAATCAAAATCTCATCATTCAGGGCGTAAACTGATCGCCTGCAGGGGTTAGAAAGGAATTTTACTTCATGTGCAGCATTG